ACTTACTGGCACAAAAAAATGTAACACACATTTAAATTGTATATTTAAATAGTTTAATTATCAATGCTATAAAAGTCTACTGTTGATAAGTAGCTTTTACTATATATCATACTCATTATAGTCATACCTACATATCACTCTACAAAGAACATAATCGCAAATTGAACTTTATTGGCAATTTACGAGATTTTCAAGGATAATTTTGAGCATGTACTCGATTTTGTCCTTAGGCACAGTCTTTATATAATCTAGCCGCATTGTAAGCTGAAATTCCGTTGTACCAAAGTGAAGACTGAGAATATGGGGCAAAGAAGAAACAAATGAAGTATTGGGTATGAGAATGGTGCTCAATGATGAATCCAAGTTCTAGCCAAATCATTCTCGTAACAGAACAAGAGATACAGCTCATTCACACAAATGGTCACACAAAATCAACCAACAGTGGGATTCACATAAGAATTTTAAAAGTGGTTCATGAGCCACTTCAATTTCTTAAAAGATAACAAATATGGCAAGGGCTTCATGTCATACATGTTTATAATCAATTCTTGATTCTAAAACCTAAAAAAAGTCACATACTGGCTTCTTCTGATTTTGAAATTTATCATTTCCTTATTTTTTAAAGAATATGTAAAAATAATAATAAGTTAAGAAAAATCATATTTTAATTTTGCAGTAAGTTTACTATATATGCAAGGCTAAGTAAAAAAGTATTGCCACAAAATCACAGAAACCTTTATTAAACAAAAACGTCAAAATGTGAAGCTATTCTTTCTCAACATCTCCGTCTGGGTCTACAGACTTCTGAAGGTGGTGTTTCCATCTCTCTGACCTTTCCTGAAAGAATTCTGTGCTCCTCAATTAACACCATGTCAAAACAGCAGTTTTAGCATTCTCAAGGAAGTCTAAAGGGGCAAGATCAGTGCTGTAAGTTGAACCAGGTAAGGTTTCCCAACAAAATTCTTGTAAAACAGCCCTCACTCAGGAGACATCAAGGCAAGTGGTCGGATCCCCCTCAAGGCAAGTGGTCGGATCCCCCTCAAGGCAAACCCCCTTCTAAGACTAAGGCTCAATGGGAATGCATGCTCAGATTGGTGACCACGTTCGTCACCAATAAGGGGAGGTAAGGGAAAAACAGCAATGAAGCTGTGAGCTAAGCCCTACAATGCTCCTGTGAACCCGGATGGAAACCTGGTTGGCCAGCAGTGTGCCAAGTCCATGGGTCTCTTGGACCCAGAGTCAGCGACATAGTCACAGACGACTAGAGTGGAGAATGAAGCGTCCAGCTGCCAAGAAGAAGAGGGCACATGTATAAGTACACCCACACTTGCAGATAATACCCACTTGACCTGGCTTCAATGACTGGATGATCAGAGCTCAAACAGGATAATCTGATACAATTTGATGAACCTGACACACAACTATGGAAGCAATAGCTCAAAAGAGTGAACAAATCTTCACAGGGAGGATCATTCCCACCTCCTCTACACACGGAGAGAACAGGGATGGGCAACCTGGACATTGGCTACCCAGAATGGGAGGGGCTACAGAGTCAAGAAGTGATTGGCTTACAAGCTTTCAAGGGGGAACCTAGATCCAGAGGGTGTGAAGCAAGATAGAATCTCCACTGAGTAGTATCCATTCTACCTAGTCAGGGCTGATGAAAGGGGATGCAGAGAGGTCTCTTGCAATACAATAGTGATTAATTGATATCAGGAATGATTGTGAGGGCTGGAAATATAAAGGTAGACATTTTTGGGCAAAGGGAGGGGAATGATTAACCTTGCTTTCTAGGAGTGGAGGTCCCTGGGACCATTAAAGGAGAAGAGCAGAGAATGGAACCCTACCCAGAGAAGCAGTGATGCCAGGGATGGAGATGGAGATAATGACATGGGGAGATGGAATGGCTGGAGACTTTGGACCCGGAGAGAGAGAGGGGCAATATGTGGATGACCGGGGTGGGGGGGCAGGTTTGCAAGGTATACTCTTTGTTTGATGGATGATTGTAACCATGGCAAGGAAACGATCAATGTGAAGCTGATGTCCTCCCATGTAAACGATCACATAATTCACAATAAGCATTAAAAAAAAAAAAAAAGAACTAAAAAAAAAAAACAGCCCTCACTTCCCTAGAAGAAAGAGCAGGTGCATTGTCATGATGAAAAATAATTTCTCAGGGCAACATTCCTGGCATTTTTCTCACCCAACGTAGTTTTCAATTTTCTTAAAATTTCTTCCTAATCAGCCCCTGTGATCATCCTGTGCCCTTTGAGAAAATCTATCAAGATTATCACTTTGGGACCCCCTTTCCCTCAGTCTCCATAACCTTCTGAGCTGACCTCTCTCCCTGAATCAACTGGCCCAGCAGATCCCCTTGGAAGCCACTGCTTTGATTGGCCATTTCATTTGAGGACATCCTGATGAGACTAAGGCAAATGCATTAGTGAAAAAACTTGTTTATATTTATCCATTGATCTCAGAAACATACTTAAACATGTTTTGTTTGGAATAAACCCATGCATGTATGAATTGGAATCCTAGTAGCAATACTTTTTCACTTAGCCTTATGTAATTTTTAAAGTGTGTACAAAAATGGAATTTTTCTACCAACTTTTGAAGCACTCTCATGTATGT